TTGCCTTCTCCATCATCTATTATTTCATCCACGTAGTCCACTTCTATATATTCACCAACAGGTCCTTCTTCATCCTGAAAAACAACTAACTTCATAACACTAATAGTAGATCCTACAATCAAAGTAAAGATGTGGTTTGCAGGAGGAGGGTGCTCATGGACTTCAGAGAGGCCCCCCGGGGTTACAGGGCATTTGTCAAATGGATATTCCCTCGCTGGGAGGCTAGAGATACATGTTCTTGTAGCATCCAGACCAGGTTTTTGAGAGGAGGAGAATAAGGAAAAAAGAGAAGAAGAGAGGTTTGGCTGACAGGTAGCCTGAGATGGCCCCGAGGACTGCACGACGCCTTGAAATGCATCCCTTGTCTGTGCCGTCTTATCGAGACCAGTGACGCCTCATCTGAACAATTTCAGGTACAGAGCACGAAAGTGGGAGGGGGAACCCGGGTATCCGTGCTCCGCAGTGAATCTATGATCAGATGCGCAGCCGCACCTGCCAAGGTTTCAAAGATCACGTGGGAAGGGCACCTCTGAGGAACCTTCAGTTATACGAGGTGAATGGCGCGCTATTCTCAATGTCAGCGCTCGCGTCTATATCAGTTCCTCATCCAAACACGCACTCAGCGTTAGGCAGCTTTCAGACTTGACCCGCTTTCAAGCGCAGCAACACGCGTTGCTGCGCTTGAACGCACGTTGCCGCGCCTGCACACGCGTTGCTGCGTGTCAGAGACCGTTTAAGCGCTTTAACACTTGGGGTAGGAATAGTTCAAGAAAGCCGCCCGCTTTAACATGCGTTACTATGCAGCAACCCAGCGCAGCAACGCCTTAAAGCGGCAGCGACAGGTGTTGCTGCGCTCCACAGCATGCTCACTCTGAACGCGGCGCCAGACTACAGTATTTGAGTTTTCATCGATGGTTGGTGATTTAGGGTGTTTTGGCGCGGGCGCCAGGCGGTTTCGGGTCCAAGCGGATGTGATATCCATGTTTAGGAGGTCACTGGGGTAGGAATAGTACAATAGTGCCGAACGCGCTTGTAACTGTAGCGTGTCAAAGCGCTTGAACAGGCTCTGACACGCAGAAACGGGTGTTCAAGCGCAGCAACGTGTTTACAAGCGCGGCAACGCGTGTTCAAGCGCGGGAACGCGCGTTTAAGCGCAGCAATGCGTGTTACTGCGCTTGAAAACCCATCAAGTCTGAACGCTGTCGTAGAGAACAACCAGAAATGAAAGGGGCCAGCAACTAGCGCGTTTGGCTATGGTTAGGCGTGCTGCAAGGCGAGCTGGGTATGGAGACAGCACCAAGGTATCACCAATCTCCAGTCCCGTTGCCGTGCACTCTTCACCTGGAAAAATGCTACGCATCAGCAGCAGTGGCCCCACTCACTTCACTTCGAGGACCAGCATGGACGGATCTGACTTAACAGTTTGTCTTATATCGGAATACCGTTCCAAGGTGTCATGACGTGTTATGAAATGACATGACGTTGTACAATCTCGCCTTGGATAGCATTTCCTAGCTCTAATAGCACCCTGTGGGATACCTCATCAAACTCAAAATGTACGACTCACTTCTGCTATTACGTATTGCTCATTGATCTCAGCCAACTCGCCGTTGCTCATACGAACCTATAATCACATTTCATTCGTATTGATTGTGATGAGTAGCTGAACAGGACATGAATGAACGTTCTAAACAAAAATCAACTTACATAACGCTGATGCCCATTGGAATGATCCATCTCCATGACTTTCATAGGCATCGAGATCTGAGGATGTTGCAATGGCTCAAGATGATGTTGCAAGTGCTCAAATGTTTGCCGTGGTTCCGCCATAAACTTCATGGAAGGGACCATTGTATGAGGAGAAGACATCGAAGCAAACGTTTGTGAAGCAAAATCACGCATGCACCTTAACAGTAAAACCGTAGTATCGAGTAAGCTAAGGAAGATAGCACAATCTAGTGGTTTCAAATGAAGAGAAACATTAGAACAGGTACAGTTGATTTTGCCTAGTGTAATTTTTTGGAACCTAGGCATTTGGCCGTGTGTGGGGAGAATGGGTTCGACACAACATGCTTATTTCGAAGAGAGGGACACTGCGCCCTTCGAGGTAGTACATATCAGTAATCGAAGACAAGCTAAACACTCACCTACGCGAAACCTGGCAATTGCCGTGTGTGGGGAGAATGGGTCCGCAGCTGCAGTACCGTGCCACTTTTTTCGGTTAAAAGAGCACAGGAATGGAGCTGGAGGTTAGTGATGCCTG